GGGTTAAGTTTTAATTGTATTTGATTGTTATTTTTGTTGCATATTCTGTATATATTTGTCTACTATTCACATATTTGTATCATTTGCTTGATAAAGACTAGAGTATCCTCATCGAAACTTTGCTCATTATTAAACTCAGTAATTGTGTATCCATAAAATTGTACCTTGTGTTAATATGTTCAATTACTAAATGCCAATCAAAGAAAATATTTAGCTGATTCATTGTTACAGCAGCTTTAGAAAATAAAGTTTGTTTTGTTTTTAAATTTGCTTTATTATGAACTATACCGTTAGGAGCTGCATCTTTTGGTTTAGTAAAATTAATATCTCTGAAGCTCCTTCGTTAGGCAAGAATAGCATACTAGTAGTATTTTCCTTTTGCTTTTACAAGGTTCCCAAAACTATCATTGAGTTGTCTAATGTGTGAGTTTCTAAATTAGATTTATTGATCAAAATTTCTGTAATGTTTCGTAGAAAATAGTCTTGATTATCCTGGTCTGTCAATCAGTCGGAGAACGGTCGGTAGACTGGTTAAGAGGGATTATTTTCAAATCACGGGCAGATAACCTATTTTGCACTAAAAAATGCCCGGATGTTATGGCGTCAGCTTGTCAACTTTTTCGGTCTATTTTTTTGATTGATGTTGAATGGTTATATTTTGCTAAATACAACACGATTGTTTATGTGAGAAAGTAATGTGAGAGAGTAAGTTAAGACTTGTTATATACTAAACAGCAAAAAAAACCTCAGTACAATTTCAAAATCAGAGAGGCACTTTAATCAAATCATTCTAGAAAACTACTTACTAAATGGATCAAAGCAATTTTTTGTGAACAGTATGTTGACACATAAGTGGTTAATTCATCACAATTTCTAGACATTACGAGAATGTTTAGAGTCTGTACACAGACTAAACATCAGTATCTTTGTGTCCACTGCGAGTGTCAATAACAGCAGCGCAGTGTCTGTACATGGAATGGACCAGACGATTGATGAACGCCATTGGCACCTGGAACCACACTCAGAAAAGCCTGGTGGTGTGGGTCACGGGCTCCGTCATGCTGGAAAACGTTGTTTCGATGACGTGCGAAATGTGATATGACGTGGGGTCTGAGAGCTTGATCGATGTTGCGCACTGCTGTGATGCCACCTCCTCTCCTTGGACAAAGATTTTGGAACACCACAGGACCCAATCTCTGGTTCAGGCTGATTCCACCCCAAACCATTATGCTTGGACCTCCCCATGAGTCTCGTTCCATGACACATTGGTCAGAATAACGCTGGCCACGTCAACGCCATATTCCGGTCCTGCCATCTGCAGTTGATACGCAATACCGACTCTCATCTGTGAACAGAACAGTTCTCCATTGCCTGTGTCGCCAGTTCACATCGATGGCGAGGGGTGTGGATCGGTCCACGGTAAGGTCTACGGCAATGGATGGTCTCTCTGGTGAGACGTCGACGCACTGTATCGGTACTGATGGGTCTTCTGTGTGTTCCCACTGTCTGACGTGCTTTCTCAGATGCCTGTGTGAAGGTATTCTGCAGGTGCTGTCTTGGCGTTCTTGTCGCCTTGTGGTAACCCTTGGTCTACCAGTTCGGGGGCGATCATCCATGGTGTTGGTGTCCCGAAAGGGTTGCTGAAGTAGTCTGAATGATTCAACCAGGTATGGGGGTGCATTTTATAGGGCTAGTCCCGGTGAACAGCACTGGCAGCATGAGTTACATGAAAATCATGGAGAACACATTACCATCTCAGAAGTCAGGTTGCGTTTTTGAGAGCATTTCCTGGGTTCAGTTCTGTGTTTGGGAAGGAGCCTTATTGCTCAGGTAAAGTTGGAGATGTGGTCACTAACATACAATAAAAACATTTGGCAAGTTTTATGCAATGCGTCAATTCAGAGTAACATACCAACCTGACTTTTTTTTTTGCTGCTTAGTATATATATTCTTATTGTGGTATAATTGTCGAAATATCTGAGAGATATTGGGAGATATTTATTTATGGTGGGGCACCCTACCCTTGGTTGTACGAAAAATATGGACTGTAACTTCATGGATTATGGCCCCTGATTGTACGAAAAATCACGTTTTTAGCTTGTGAACACTGTAGAGGTCACAATTTTTATCCAGTTTGGTTTAAACTTGAAATGTATGCTTATAACCCAAAGATCTCGGTTCCTTTCGATATTCGCGCATATCGGAACGTAACTTCCTGAATTATGTCACCTGATTGTACGAAAAATCGTGTTTTTAGCTTGTGCACCCTATAGAGGTCATAATTTTTATCTGATTTAAAAAACCGTATTATTATATCACCGATCACCCTAAGGCCGACTGAGTTCGAATTTTGTGAAAATCGGCCCAAAACTGACAGACAAAATGGCCGTCCTTCGTTCTCAAATAGCGTAAAAATATGGTATATCAAGTTTGTGAACCCTATAGAGGTCACAATTTTTATCCGATTTTGTTGAAACTTGAAATGTAAGTTTATAACCTAAAGATCTCGGTTCTTTTCGATATTTGCACATATCGAATTGTAATTTCCTGAATTATGGCCCCTAATTGTAGGAAAAATCACTTTCTTTTTAGCTTGTTCTCTATCCATCTCTCGAAAATATGGGCGTATCCAGCCTGGCAGCCGCTGGTTATTCAATCTTAAAAAACATTTAATTATATAACCGTTAGACCCCAATGAAGGTTGAGTTCAAATTTTGAGAAAATCGAAATGAAACTGTCTGACAAAATTACCGCTCCTTGTATGCAAATAGTGTAAAAGTAAGTAATACCTCGGACCGCAACTTCCTGGATTATGGTCCCTGATTGTATAAAAAAAATCGCTTTTTTTTCCCCCCGCCTTTCGAAGAAAGCAGGGACTATTAAAATAGTCCTTCTGGCCGTCTGTCCATCCGGAATTGTGGAGGCTCTAGAGGCTAAAGATGATATTCGATTGACTTAAGATTTATAGTGTTTTAGGTCATGAGATGAAGAAGCCTATTGATTTGCAGCGATTTCCGATAATTACTGCCAGAGTTATGGCCTCTCATCACTCTGAAAAATCTTGTGGACGCTCCAGAGGGTAAAGTTAATATCCGATAAACTTGGAATTTATACACTGTGTTTAAGGTTATGAGACGAAAGAAGCCTATTGATTTTTAGCCATTTCCGATACTTACTGCCAGAGTTAAGGTCATTGATAACTTTGAAATATCTTGTAGACGCTCTAGCGGCTAAAGTTGATATCCGATTGACTTTAAATTTATACACAGTGTTTTAGGTCATGACACCGACGTCTATTGATTTTCAACGATTTCCGATAATTACTGCCAGAGTTATGGCCCTTGATCTCTTTGAAATATTTTGTTGAAGCTCAAGAGGCTAAAGTTAATATCCAATTGACTTTAAATTTATATACAGTGTTTTAGGTCATGAGACACAGAAGCCTATTGATTTTCAATGATTTCCGATAATTACTGCCAGAATTATGGCCCTTGATGAATTTAAAATATCTTGTGGACACTGTAGAGGCTAAAGTTAATATTCGATTGACTTTAAATTTATATGCACTGGTTAAGGTCATGAGATGAAGAATCCTATTTATTTTCAGCGATTTATGATTGTTACTACCAGAGCTATGACCATTGATCTCTTAAAATATGTTGACACTTTAGAGGCTAAAGTTAATATCCAGTTAATTCTAAATTTATACACAGTGTTTTAGGTCATGAGCCGCAGAATCCTATTGATTTTCAACTATTTTCGAATATTACAGCACAAGTTAGAGCCCTTGATCTCTTTGAAAAATCTTGTAGAAGCTCTTGAGGCTAAAGTTAATATCTGATTGACTTTAAACTTATACACAGCGTTTAAGAACATTAGACAAAGAATGCTATTCATTTTCAACGATTTCTGATAATTACTGCCAGAGTTACGGCCCTTGATCACTTTGAATTATCTTGTGGACGCTCTAGTGACTAAAGTTAAAGGAGCTAAATCGCTAATATTTTGGACCTAGAAATTGACACAATTATCTCGCAATACATGTAATAATGTAATATGAATGTATAAACTGATTTACATTCAATCATTTCCGTCTCTACTCTGATTTCAAATCAGTTATGTTCGGCAAAATACACGTCTGGTTATTCCAGTCTACATAGTATTTTAATGCGCATGCTCTACAGATAAGAATGGCGTCACCGTTTGACATGACTTGTGGAATATGTCTAGCCTCGTTCTTCGAGTCCCTTGTTACAAATGGGACTGAAACACATTATGGTACACGATTCGTGTACCAATGGTAAAATGTTTATTTAAATATTGGATATCAGAAGCCCATCTTTTCCCGGTAAGATCACAACATCAATGTTGATTTAAATTGACAAATAATTTGTGTTTTCAATATCGAAGACTTAGATGATATTCAGTTAGAAATTTTGCTACTTTAATATAAATTGTTTAAGGTCATGAGACAAACAATCAAAACAAATTCTACTTTTTTCTGAAAATTACTTCAAAGGTTATTACTCGTAATCAGATTTTCATGTGTTCTAAATGTTCTCATTACTGACAAAAAATATGCGACAACACTTATTGACTGCCCGGATGACTAAGCTGCTGTGGGTGTATGTTTCGTTGCCTGACAACCTATCTTTGGAAATTGCTTCCAGAGTTAAGGCCCTTGTTTCAGTTTGTAGAACCTTGCAAGTGAACCCTCAAATGACAAAAATTATAATCTGATCTGAATGAAATTGTCTAGTAAATGCCCCATAATTACCTACAAAATAATAAATATGCGACAACCCTTGTCGACTGCTAGGACGATTTAGTGGCTGTGGACGTTTTTTTTTTTTTTGGTTGCCTGCCAACCTATCTTTTTGAAGTGACAGGTAGAAAAAAAACTACAAGTGGATTGTATTTGAATATTTTAAACGTGGAATTGAATTTAAGATTTATGTTATTAATACATGTGTATTTTGATTGATTCTGTTGTATTACAGGTGATCAAAATAGTGGTCATTTAACTCTGCAGGATCTTCACAGTTTGTCACAACCTGTTACAACAGGTCACACTGATTATATTGGTGCACACAGTGAAGAAGGGGAAACAACTCTAGTGGATACTGTCAGGTAAAAATATAATCCATTGCACTCTTGCGAATACCCATTTGAACGTTCCATAAATGAATCCTCTTAATCTTTCAAAAGGGGTCAGTCGAGTAAACATTAGGATTTCAGGCAATAAGGCATGCAGAAACTGAATATGATACTTTCTATACCAATCACCATATAGGTGAAAGGTTTGATTCTGCGCACACCATATTTGATAGAAAGATAAATATGCATGTAGAAATAATAAGTGTCATTTAATTCAGGCCTTGAGATCTGAAAATCCTGCTGGAGTGATAAAATGTGTTCGCCATATATTTTGTCAGTGTTGTTTTATTATACGTCCACATTTTTTATGTGGACGTATATTGTCGTTGCCCCTGTCCATCCACAATTTGTTTGTGGACACTCTACAAGTCAAAATTCTTATCCGATTTTGACGAAAACTTGAAATATAGGTTTATCTCCTATATTTATAGGTTTGGTTCCTTGCGATATTGTCATGTATCGGATCGAAACTTCATGGATTATGGCCCCTGATTGTACCAAAAAATCATGTTTTTAGCTTGTGGACACTCTAGAGGTCACAATTTTCATCAGGATGTATCTCCTACAATATCACCTACAAAATTCCATTTGGATGAAGGTGACAAGTTATTTAGGTAATATACCACAGAAATCAATGTTAATTGATAGAATTGTGCTTTTAAAGTGTAATATTGTATAATATGGTCTCAAGTTAATTGGAAGAAAAACTATAGCTGGGACATCTGTAATAATTTTTTATACGCCCACATATGTTCATAACCCAAAGATCTTGTTTTTTTTCGATATTTGCTTATCGGACCATATCTTCCTGGATTATGGCCCCTGATTGTACAAAAAATCACATTTTTTTTTAGTAACGTTTGTTACATAATCACAGATTATCTGATGTTATAGACGCTTCCTGCCAACTTGACACCCGTTCGCTATCGACATCCCTGGAGTTCTTGGTCTATGTGATTATGTAACAATTAGTTAACCGTACCTTGGTGGCATGTCTTATTTAAATTTAAACTTTCTTTGATGATAAGCAAATGTTAAACCTGATATGATACATGATACATCAGCCAGATGTCTAATAAGACTCCTTTGTCTGGAATGGTATATAAGCCCAGATAACAAACGAATCGACAGAGAGGTCCGGACAGGACAAGAGAGCGTAGGCCGTGGGCGTCTTGGCACAGATGAGACAGAATGTGGGAGAGCGTATTGGAGTTGGCACACTCGTGCCTAGCCAAGCTAGGATATGGCTCCCTCAATACAAGTTAGTTATGGAGTCCTTAAGTTTTGTATATAATATGTTAGAAGAAGAATAAAAGTATTATAAGATGTTAAACTAGTTTTGTAATCAAGAACCTGATAGAAAGTAATACTGTCACATATTAATTGCTGTTGTAGACCAGAGCAACGTGTAAACTCCTATACCACTAGAAGACCACAGGCCACAGCTATTAGTATTCACAGGTAAGTCTTTTTCTAATCCTACCAAGGCCACGTAATCCTGACATTGTGCTATGTAGGCCCTATTATAATTTAACTGGGAAATCAGCAGTTTATCATCACGCTTTATTAAATATCATGGTGTAGTTACTAAATTTAATATATTGCCTTTCAAGCTAGTAGTGGAACAGTCCTTAACTATTTGTAGGAAAATGACTAAAACAAAATTGTATATATATTGTTTGTTTTACAAAGGGTCATGCTGTTTTTAAAAGATTATAAATTATAATTGTTTGTTTTTGAACACATATTTTGGCATTTAAAATTAGTATTAACAGGTTAATATCGAGATGTAAAATGTTTTGTGATTGTTTAACTCGAATTGGGTTAACAGTATCGTAATTTTAAATTTAACCCAATAACATTCACAAAGTATTAAGTGTTTATCTCAAGATTTTTATTTGTTTTGTCTATACGTGTATATTACCCCAAATGTTAATGGGATGGCCCGATATTTATGGGAGAGATTTTATTCGTGTTTAAAGTAGTACTCCAAATGTTAAAGGGATGCCCCGATATTTACGAGAGAGATTTTTATTTGTTATACCCCAAATATTAATGGGATGGCCCGATATTTACGGGAGAGATTTTATTTGTGTTTTGTTTTTGACGTAGTACCCCAGATATTAATGGGATGCCCCGAAAGTTCGGGAGAGATTTTATTTATATTCTCAAGAGAAATTGAGCCCGCGCTTAAAGTAGAGCGAACGTATCGTCTTGTTTTGTGTTGTGTTTAAAAATTATAGAGATAAACCGTTATTAATTTTGATAAGTTCTTTCAAAATATCTTATTGAAGATTGGTAAAATGGCCCGATATTTACGGGAGAGATTTTATTTGTGTTTTGTTTTTGACATAGTACCCCAGATATTAATGGGATGCCCCGAAAGTTCGGGAGAGATTTTATTTATATTCTCAAGAGAAATTGAGCCCGCGCTTAAAGTAGAGCGAACGTATTGTCTTGTTTTGTGTTGTGTTGTGTTTAAAAATTATAGAGATAAACCGTTATTAATTTTGATAAGTTCTTTCAAAATATCTTATTGAAGATTGGTAAAATGTGTTCAGACCATTCATTATTCTTTATCTCGAGATAAAACAATATGACATCCTCATTTCAATTCTATTCATGTAAATAATAATGTAAATATGGTTAGATAGCTAACTTAAGTCTGTTCCACTAGCTAATTTGATTAACTATTAATTAAGTTCACTCCATGATATGATAAACAGATGATAAAACTTTCGCATGGGTGGCAGTTATAATACTCTTCATAGCACATGTCATAACGCACCGTTCCGGCCAGGCGGTATGGAAAAGATAAGACTACTGGAAAACACCGACCCCTTGCTATTACGGAAAACTTATACAAGAAGAAGACGACAGAATAAAGGAAGAAGAAAAAAATGAATTTGTATCTCCCTGCAGTTGACCACAACAATGTACGGATGGAGAAATTGGATATAATTTCTACATTGCGCGTGTGACCATTACAATAATTTATAATATATATTCGTGTGTTACCATGAAAATAATTTATATAGATGTGATTTCAGTTATTCACGTGTGTGCAAATTAGAATAGTTTGCGTTATATATTATATATGTGATCCCAAGAACTCATGTGTGTGAACAGTAAAATTATCTGCGACATAATTATGTGGTTTCAATGTCTCGCGTGTATGAACACTTTAGTATATATGTATGAACTTTTCAACCAGTGTCTTATTACTTTTCAACCAGTGTCTTATTCTTTTGCCATTTACATTTTTTTTTGTTTATATAACTTTTAATCAGTGTATTGTTATTTTTCGTATTTTTGTTTATGTATTAATTAGGGTAGTTACCTTCGACTCCATTTTTATTTAATTTTGTAATGGTCTTAAAAAGTTATTTCATATAATTCATAACTTTATTCAAAAAAAAAGGGAAGGTATGATACATAATCACAGATTATCTGATGTTATAGACGCTTCCTGCCAACTTGACACCTGTTCACTATCGACATCCCTGGAGTTCTTGGTCTGTGTGATTATGTAACGATTAGTTAACCTGACCTTGGTGGCATGTCTTATTTAAATTTAAACTTTCTTTGATGATAAGCAAATGTTAAAAATGATATGATACATGATACATCAGCCAGATTTCTAATAAGATTCCTTTGTCTGGAATGGTATATAAGCCCAGATAACAAACGAATCGACAGAGAGGTCCGGACAGGACACAAGAGCGGAGGCCATGGGCGCCTTGGCACAGATGAGACGGAATGAGGGAGAGCGTATTGGAGTTGGCACACTCGTGCCTAGCCAAGCTAGGGTATGGCTCCTTAAGTTTTGTATATAATATGTTAGAAGAAGAATAAAAGTATTATAAGATGTTAAACTAGTTTTGTAATCAAGAACCTGATAGAAAGTAATACTGTCACACGTTTCTTGCATGGCAACTGCTTGTTGTTATTGCCACCGCCAGACGATACCTATGGAGTGGTAAAAAATAGTTATTTATAGACTGATGGTCATCTTATATAATAATACTAGGGTGCCCCGTCAGTGATGGGATTTCAAAATTTTTCTTGTCAGACTTTTTACCGAAAATAAAGGGGCATAACACTTATCGTTATTTAAGCAGACAGATTCATACCACAATTAAACATCATAAGTCAACAAAATATTCAAATCCTGTACTTAATAAAAGTAGGTGAGCCTCGCTATTTTTGATATTTAATTTCCGTACGGTATTCATATTTAAGTAATATTTCTATAAAATTACATGTTTTCGTAATATGATAGAATGAAAGCTTACCTTCTTGTAAAAAGCATAGCTTCCTTCAGCGTATGGCCTACGTGATAGCACGTAGCTTCATTATAAGCACTGCCTTGTAAGCGATTTTCGTTCGGCAATCGAGATCACGAGAAAGTGCCACTGTTGATGAGAATTTCTATATGGAGTCTTAACAGACGTAAAAGATATTGCAAACAGAATGACTGTCCATTGATTTGGGTTGTTATATACTCTTATGATGTGTGACATCTAAGACTAGTTTATACATGTTGTCGGTTGGTACATGCTGTGATTAAAATGTCTGACAAGTCAATGTATGAAAACCACTAGCGTAAACACGTAGATTAAAATTATAATCACTCTTATTGGATTAATGAATAGTCCGACAAAGGGGAAGCATTGACTTCTGTTTAAGATTAGATTAATAATAATAATAATAATAATAAAAACTTTATTTAATGAGGCAACGTATTTAGTTTGCAAAAAAAACAACTAATCTTCCATAGGTCCCTCCTAAACTACAAAGACATATATACATGTAATATCAGGATAAATTTAAAATCATTAGAAATGCAATAGCATTTTAAAGTGGGAAGTTTGATAAGTCACTCCCAAACTACAAAACATATACATTATACAAGTAGAATATAGGAAGAACACTATAATTACACACAAAATAAAATAGAATGCAGTTGCAAG